CCCTAAAAACCCTAAAACCCTAAACCCTAAACCCTAAACCCTAAAACCCTAAACCCTAAACCCTAAACCCTAAACCCTAAACCCTAAACCCTAAAACCCTAAAACCCTAAAACCCTAAAACCCTAAACCCTAAAACCCTAAACCCTAAACCCTAAACCCTAAACCCTAAACCCTAAACACTAAACCCTAAAACCCTAAACCCTAAACCCTAAACCCTAAACCCTAAACCCTAAAACCCTAAAACCCTAAACCCTAAAACCCTAAACCCTAAAACCCTAAAACTACATATTAAAAATAATGAATATATAAATTATTAAGCTTTGAAATTGCGATGGTATTTACAGAGTAATGCAATTTCACAGATTAGACACACTTATGATGGTAACATATGAAAGTGTTAAAATAAAATGTACAGCAATAATTGAGATGTATCGTGAACCTAGTGATATTAAGAAAATCAAATGCACATTTGCACTATCTTAAGTAGATGGTATGTTAATGTATAATTTTTATTTTGCTACGGACTGTAATCAATTCGATGGAGATGTCGTCATTTTATTTTTCAACCAGTCTACTTTTGAATCTCATATGCATTCTAAATATTACCCAGGAATCGTGTGGCATACAGCTGTAGCTATTCCCTTAGTTGTGGGCCTTCTATTAGGACAGTCTCTCATGAAACGATCTGTGGCGCACGTAATCGCATGACATAAGTCTAACACCATGCCACTGCAATACATTTATCTGTGTATACAAGCAGAAAGTTATTACGTGAGTTCCTAGATTACACATTATTTCATATTTTTCGGTAAATAGAAGTCACCGAGGAGATGGATGGCTAGCGCATTGTGTATGTATAGGTGTGATTGAATGTGAACTACGTCAAGCGGTACCGTCAACCCATAGGTGAGGTAGAGTATAAATATGAAAGAAAATCTTGGTTTGAGAGGAACGTTTAGAAAATCCAAAGGTGAAAGAAGATGCTGTAATGTGAGGTGACTATGAGGCGTTGATTAGTGGTATTAGTGGACTGTGTAAAAGAGGTGATTAGTTGTTTATGAGTGTTTGTTGGAGGGTGACTAGATGACATGAGTAGATAAATTAAGGTCTAATGTACAATGTTCTAGATGTGGGTATTTTATTAGCGAGCAGATGCATCGGTAGCAGGTGATGCGTGTACGCGAGACGCCACTGCGAGCGAATGTGGAGTAGGTCCAGGGGTCGGATCAATGCGTATAGGACATAGGCGAGTATGACTAGCCAGAATGCGAATAGGTATATTGCGAAGGGGTAGCGTATGTATGTGAGGAACTCGTTAATTACTTGGAACAATTGTTCAAAGAATTGAGGCAACCCATTTTGAGGGTTGCGAACCTCTCCGAGTGCTTTGTAAAATTCGCAGCAATCGCGTTGGTAATCGGAAGGACCACTTGTCTTTTTGCCCTCACCATGTAAACCGGCAGCACTGCGATACGTGAAACCGTACTTGTAGAACAGGGGAAGGACACCGGCACAGGTTACTATAGTAACAGAAGAGCATTGGTAATCGGGTTTACCGTGTTTACCGTGTTTACCGGATTCACATTTCTGCCCACTTTGACACGCCGTACAATCAGATTCTGCGCTATTTACATTTAGGAAATCATCATGCAGCTGCTTGAGACCATCATATAGGGAATCGGCGAGATGAACTATCCACGAAAGATACTTGTCTGCGTTAATCACAGTGAAACATGAATGGCTGTACCAGGAAAGGGGAAAGAGGTGTCTATCACAGTGGGACAGTTCACGTACGAATAGGCTTTGTAAGGTTAGGTGGGAGCCTTCTCTGTATCTATCGTGGACGCATAGATTCTGGAGGGCTCTTGTTATCTTGCTGCCGTCATCATTGGTTGGCACACCGTGATAACCTGGATAAGTGTTAGCTGCAGCGTGGATGGCCTTTTGCAGAGTGTGACTATGAGGAAAGGCCAGGTTTCTTTTATAGCTTTCCCAAAGGAAGTAGAAAAAACCAAAAATGTCGCCGACTGTTCGTGGGGGCGGAACGTTGACGTAGGCCAGACACAGTGCTACATTGAAGAGGCTAACGTGGTGTCTATTTTTCTCAACGAAGTACCATAGCATTACACGGAGATAATCACCGGTGCGTGGTTACCTAACTTTCGACAGATTGGTGAAACCCATTGGTACGGGGCAGTATTGATTGAAGTTGAGATGGTCTAGATGGAAGCTGTAAGCTAACTTTGTTTTATCACTGGCACATTGAAAACTCAAAAGTTTATCTTTTAGACAAGCTTGTAGGGGGGAGGGATTCTTGCCAATGCCACACTGTTTGTGGTTATCGCGGCAGTACGCAGCAGCACAATCTGCGTCTTTATAGTTATTTTCATTTTTTTTGTGCAAATCCAGGATTTCAAAGGCTCATCACTGTTTTTTTAGTATGATGTTTGGTCTCACCACTGCCAGCCACAACCAACCGCAGGATATAGTGAGACACAAGTTGCATTGCTGCCGAAGGAAATACAATTGCGCCATTAAATGGTATACCACATTCCACAGTTCATTGAACCAATCGGTGACGTTGTCTGGGTACTTGAATTTGAAGTGGGAATTGGAATGGATGTTGTGGAGGTTCAATTGTTCTTTGCCAGGTTCTGTTTTAATGCCATTGAGGGTACCTTGTATAGTCATGAGGATGAATCCGGCGTTGAAACAGGGTGGGAGGAGGTAGGATGGGATGTCAGAAAGTGTGAAGGTGATGAAATCTGTATTCGTGGTACCAGGTCCGGTAATAAAGGTAATGGATGTGATGTCCTTTTTTCCAATTAGTTCGGCTACGTTACCAGTGCATAGTGTTTGGTACACTTTGGTGTAGTGTATGGCCATTAACCAATAGAGCATTTCACGGATGGTACAGGGGACGTAGTCACACTTCACATTGGTGTTTAGTAGTTCTTGTTGTTTGTACGAAAAGTAGTATTGTGAACATAGGTACAGAGAAGTGAGGGTATATTCTTTAGCAGCTGTAGCATTATTAACGGTCTCTCTAACTTTTTAAAGTACATTTTTGATGTACGTGGAGTACCATTTCTCGGACGCATGACCATTTGCTAAATCCGTGAAGCCGTTGTTGGAAGATGCCACAGCAGCGGCACCGCGTATACGTACTGTGAAACCTCGTTTCATTAATGTTACTAATTCCGAACCTTTCGTATTAAGTTCGCTGGTTGTGTAACCAGAACATGTTAAGAATATACCTAGAGCATCAGAGATGTTACTAATTGTCTGTTTGCTCCATCTATTCTTACCATTAGTACCACTACATTGCCAATATAAATAACTGAAGCCACCCAATATAAGGGGGATGGAACCTAGGAAGACTTTAGCTGCTTCAGTAGCGTTAGTATCACTCCATTGGACGCCTTCATAGGAAGATGTATAATTTTGAGTACCAGAAGAACCACTTGTGTTCCAGATACCATTGTCACCCCAACCAATGAAAGCGGCAAACTTCTTGGCCAAATTGAAGATCAATTGATTAGCTCTAACAGACGTGTCACTCCTCAACTTCTCATTGACTGCACTAAGTACTTTTTGATCATCAGTTAGTTTGGCCTGGGCAGCTTCCTTGATAGGATCGTCCTCTAGTTGATCCTCAATTACATTAATCAAGTTGTTAACATGTTGCAAAGCTTTATCAACTAGCTTTATGACTTCTCGCCGAAGTTCCTGCAATCCGTTGTTGTTGCTAGCATCATCTTTCCCACATACTCTCAGAATCCAATCGATAGATTCCTTGAGGTTTCCAGGGGAATTGAGGGTTAATGATCCATATTTAGTCGGCAATGTTTTTAAGGTGAAGTCACATCCTCATTTATTCAGCACAGGTAGGCCGTGCCTGTATCACGGACCACAATGAAGCCGAATGGCGAAGTAGATGGTAGACATCATTATATGAAACTTAGTACGACTGCGTGAATTGTCAAACGGTTTCTTATCTAGAAGTTGCATTGCCTTTAGACCCTCGTTGAACTGGAATGAACATTCCCCATGCCCTTCATCATTGGTAGAAAATCAAGGGGTGCTGCCGGGAAATTACGTGTCAATATCTACTCTGGATGGCGACAACAAACGTTGTTGAACTGAGGATATACCAGGTAAGTCTTATACAGGGTGACTGGTAGTTGTTGGTGTCACTTTGCAATGTCACTATATCAGGTGAACAACCGCAGGAGGATTTTGTTGACTTAAGGAAAATATCGAAATTTAAGACATCCGTAGACTTTTAGATCGCTCCAACATATGACGACAGTGCTATCGGTTACGCATATCACAGAGTGGAAAGTTCTTCTACTGACCGCACTGGGATATGGCCTGTGATACTCTTGGACGCTAGCTGAGCTATTGGAGG